CCTCCCATGGACCATGGGGCACAGGACCGGCTAATTAACTGTCTTAAAAGGGTGACCTTTTTCTGTGCTGCCAGTAATCAGGATTCAGGTAAAGAAACCATGAACTTTGGGCTGGTTAGACGCATCTACAGAGATTAATGGAGGATTGTGGAGTAAACAGAAAAAAGCCAACCGCACAGGAATCTGTTTACCCTTTAAATCACCCATTTCACCATTGCTGAACCTTTATTAAAATGCTTTTCTCAAAGGAAACACCACATGGCTTTCCTGGGCTTTAACTCTCAGACTTTGTGTCTAAAGGTCACTCGGCAAACAGCGTGAATGTGACGGTGAAGTGCGGTAGACAGAGGCCAGGACCTCCCGCCCCACCAAATTGGGGGCCCAGGCAGGCTCGCCCGGGAGGTGGTCTCTGCACAGATTCACATGAGAAGAAGGCACTTTGTCAGGTGTTCTGAGAGTGTATTGAAGAGCCTGACCGCTCCTTGGAGAAGAAACAGCAAATGTAGCATTCATGTGTCTAGCCCCACAGGGGATCTGAGACTGGGCCCGAATGACAGGCTTCAGATGCAATACAGGACCTTCCACCCATCCATCCACCCATCCATCCATCCATCCAACTACCTGTCCATCCATCCATCCATCCAACTACCTGTCCATCCATCCACCTACCCCTCTATCTAGCCATCCACCACCCATCCCTCTGTTATCCACCCATCCATCCATCCATCCACCATCCACCATCCACCATCCATCCATCCATCCATCCATCCATCCCTCCACTATCCATCCATCCATCCATCCATCCGTAATCTACCCACTCATTATCCACCCATTCTTCCACTCTTCCTTTCCTCTCTCCCTCCCCTCTCCTTTGCTTCCTTGTATCTACTCACCTATCCATTTATCTACCCACCCACCTCTCCATTCACCCCCTTGTCCACCGAAATTCCCACCCATTAACCCATCCATCTGTAAGTAGATGGGACGCTGTCTGCCGTGTGCTGGGACTACTGAAGACGCTGCAGAAGTGAGTGGGACCATCGCAGGCCCTGCTCCCAGCCAACTGTGAAGAGAGACGAGGAGAACCTGCTGGGAGCCCTGACCAGGGGCCCAGTCCCAGAAGTGGGGGTCGGAGCAGCTTCCAGGGGTGATGTGCAAGGGGAGGAGGAACGGTGTTAGGAGTCGGTGATCGGGAAGGGGATGAGAGTGGAAAGGAGGAAAGGAGATTATTCCAGACGGAACAAGTGGGAGGCACAGGAATTGGGAGACATGTCCGGCAACACTCTCATGTACCCCCCGACACTACACTCAATGCTCTCGTGTACCCCCCGACACTACACCTGATGCTCTCGTGTACCCCCCGACGCTACACTCAAAGCTCTCGTGTACCCCCCGGTGCTACGCTCGACGCTGTCATGTACCCTCTAAAACTTTGCTAACATAACAGTAACAATGTATTTCCAATGAGGTACTGGGGCTTAGGGTTCACTGTCTCTTTCTGGGGGACATAAGCTAACCTGTAGTGCCCCCCTGTAGGTTGATGCCATCTGCTGAAAGGTGCTTCCTCACTGGCTGAAATGTACTCACCTGCGTTCGCCAGCGATCCTGGTATTTCATTCATGAACTCGTGCACGTGTCCTGACACACACGTGTGAGTGTTCTGCTGGGCACATGGTTGGAGGTGGAACTGTGTTTGGGGACGTACTTCTCCTTAGGCTGAAACTCCTGAGAAGCAGAGCCTGAAATGGGGGTTCCCTTGATTCAGTAGTGGGGGGCTCTCAGGGGAAATGGGAAGGAGACGGGGTAAGGGG